CAGCAGCTCAAGGTCTTTGCTGACGAGGTTCAGCAGCAGGCTCAGCTCTCCACCATCCGTAGCTTCCTCAAGCTCTATACCACCATGCCCGTGGCCAAGCTGGCTGGCTTCTTGGACCTGACGGAACAGGAGTTTCGCATCCAGCTGCTTGTCTTCAAGCACAAGATGAAGAACTTGGTTTGGACCAGCGGCATATCTGCGCTGGATGGGGAGTTCCAGTCCGCCTCTGAGGTCGACTTCTATATCGACAAGGTTGGTATCTGCCCCTCACTGCCTGTTCCTTCACCCAGCAAATTTTGGCAGCACCAGGTTTTGCTCCAGCCTGTGGGAAACATCCCCACGCCATGTGATGGGCTGCCCACGATGGAAGCTGTAGCCATGCTTAGTGGAAGTGCTGGTGGATGAACAGTGACAGGGTATTGCGGGCAGCGTTGGCAGTTATCACACCCAGGAGAAAAAGGCCCTAAATGTCTTCTCCAGGACAGAGTGAACCATTTGTCAGGGTTCTCAGGGGTTGGGGGCTGGGTGACAGCGCTGTCAGCGTCAGGTGAGGTTAGCAGGTTTGTAGGCGTGTCCCCTGTGTCTCTCCTTTGCTTGACAAAAGAGGGGTCTGGCTCTGTCATGTTCCAGTTCTGGTTAGATCCACTTCTAGCTGCTGGCAGAGGGAAGCAGAGCGTGAATTGGGGCTGGGGCTGTCAAACTGCTGCTAAGAGAGCTGAAAATATGCAGAGGGTGCAAATACAAGGCAAGTTTGGGACAAATCTCAGGCGAGGGTAAAGGGAAGGCAGTCCCCAGGGAACAACGCTTGCTGTGGGACTAGCACAGGTCAGGTGTGTGTGCAGTGCTCAACTGGGGCTGGAGTCGAGCCCCTTTCGTTGCCCCTCCTGTCCGGCAGTGCCTGCTGCTCCCTGCCAGCACAGTCCTCTTCCTGACTTCCTGCTCTTCCTTCCCCAGGACATGATCCACATCGCAGACACAAAGGTTGCTCGGCGCTATGGGGACTTCTTCATCCGCCAGATCCACAAGTTTGAGGAGGTGAGGCCAGACAGGAAAAACTGTGTTAGCTCTGTGGGAATAGTAGGGAAAGGTTTGGGCTCTGCAGAGCCTGACGAAGGAGTACTTTGTGTGTGTGTGACAGCTGTGCTGCGCCTTGCTGGCCAAGGGCAAGTGGTTTGAGCAGCAGCTGCTCACTTTGGAGGTTCTTACTTTTGTATGTTCTCGTGTAAGAAGTTCTCATCCAGTCGAGCCACACCAAAAAGGAGGGTTTTACTCTCTAATGCTGCGGACTGCATTGTCCCTAGACCAGTGTGGTGTTCCTTACACCTCTACCCTCATAATTGAGGCTCCAGAAAGCATCCTGAAGGACTTGACAGGCGGTGACGTGCTGTCACTGCTCCGCTCTCCCAGCAGAGGCTGCTGTGGGGTTGGAAACTTTGGCAGCAAAATCCCGAGACAGGGGGGATGTGAGCAGTACATGGCTGAGGGTTACCCTGTTAAGATACCATTTCCAGAACTTTGCAGCCTCTCTTCTCCCCAGATCTCCCTCTGCTGTTTTGGAGAGGATGAAGGGAGTTTCTCTAATTCTGTTCCTCACACGCTGCCTGCAGCTGCAGGAGAGCTGTTTTTGCAGTGATTTACAGAGGAAGGAGTAGAGCCCCTGGATTAAGGCTGCTAAGGAGATCAGTAGCATGTGTCGATCCCTCTGTATTCTTCTGACCTTTGCTTTTTCTAATTCCAGCTGAACCGAACCTTGAAGAAGATGGGCCAGAGACCCTGAAGCTTCTGTGGATGCAACAATCGGCCTGAGCAGAGAAGTGGGTGGGAGAGATTATTCTCTTTGCCGTGAGGGAGGGGAGCCCAGGGTTCTGGCATTTCTGGAATCCTCTGCGGCTCAAAAGGTTTTTGTACTTTAAATAAGCAGACTCATTTGGCTCAAACCATCCTATGAAGGACGAGACATCTAATAAAGGAGTGGAATTTTCCCGGTGAGCATTCAGTATTTGCTATTCTCTTTCTTTTTTTGTCTCCCCTTCACGTAAGAACATAATTGCATCCAGAGCTATGGGCAGCCACTGCTGGCCTGTGCCGTCTGTGGCTGATTCTGTAGCAGGTAACTGGGAACAGCTCTACGAGGTGCTGCACACAGCGAACAGGGAAGGCTGCAGGAGTGGTGAACAGGGAGAAAAGGAGCTGTTCCACAGCATTTCCACAGGATATGGAAAAAGTCGCAGGCTAATATTATTCCTTTCAGCTGTTGTTCCACGTCGAATAAAGCCCGAGTCGTGGTTGTTTTCCTAGAAGGTTGCCTCTTTGCCTTCCCACCCGTCTTTTTTTTTTAGCTCTTAAGAAGTAGAAATGCTCCCAAGTGAATCAACATGTTTTTAAAGGAAGGGGAGGATATTTTTAAACGTTCAGCCGATATTAACTTTGGTCATCTGATGAGATGTCCTTGCTGGAGGCTGTGTTTTATTTCAGCACAGGCAATGCCCAAGTCCTGGCCCTTAATTTAATGGAGTTCATTTTCCCCAGAAAATTGCCCGAGGGCATTCGATTTGTTAAAACCTTTTAAATGCTTTGATCTTCAAATGTTTTTGTAGCTCTCCCTCCAGCCACCTTGCATTCTTCCAGGCAAACTTGCAGTGCCTTGAAAGAGCAGCTGAAAGCTAGCCCTGTAAAGGGGAAGCAAGGACCTATAAATACTGGGGAAGAGAAAAGGATGCAAAGAATGAATTGCATCTCCTCAACCCGCCACACCCTGTCTCCCCACTCTCCTTTTGCAGGCTGCCTTTAAATAGTTTTGTGTTTGAGTGGAAACAACAGGTGCAAAAGAAAAAAAAAAACCTGCGTGTGTAATGGGAAAGCTACACAAAGCACGCTTCGTGTACCCCCTCTGCCTCCTGGGACCCCTCCCTTTCATTCCTTTCCACTGAGAGAGGGTCCTGGCAGCCCAGCGTGGCTTCATGTGGGATTCTGTGTGCAAGTCAGGAATAATAAGCCTTTGTTGGGCTACACGCTGTGTTCGAACGAGGGTCAAGTTTCTACTGTCCTGGATAACTTCAAAAGTTGCGTTCCCCATCACGAAGTCCTGTAACTCAAGCAGGCAGGGCGCAGGCAGCAAGGTTTACATGGGTAACTCCTGCGGGTGTTGTGCTTGCTCAGAGCTTACACCTGGTTTTGAAGGGTTGGGGGCAACCAAACCATGAAATGGAAGGACTGAGATGCTGCTGCACTGCAGCAAAACAGGAGCTGGCTGGTGTTCCAAGAGAATCTGGTCCTTTTTATTTTTAGGGCTGGCGCTTCCCACCTAGATGATTCTGTGATTCCGTGACTCTTCTGCCTGGGTGTATTTACCAACAGCAGCACAGTGACTAGAGCTGCCAACAGCAACACCCCTCCTGCTTTCTTGTTATCCAAAGCCCAAGTTTTTCACAGATAATGTGCTAAAATAGATGTGCTATACAACAGAGGAACCTCTGGCAAGGCAGCATCTCCGTGATCTAATTAATGCACAGCAAACGAATCAAACGTGTTGCTGGGCTTCAGTCCATTTTTAATCCGTGATTGATGTGTTTGGATGACAAAGTTTTGCTGCGTGTATGTACCAACTTAAGCCCTCCAGGCTGTTTCACAGCTTTATGAGCTGTTTTCAGGTAGGTGAGGATGGTCCTGCTTGTCTTGGTGCCTGCCCGAGTGTTTTCCTGAGGATGCACAGAGACTATCCGCTGCCCGGCTCCCCGCCTGCTGAAGGTTAACTGACCGGGGCTGGCACTCGTGGAATGAAGCCAGGGAGAGCTGCAGCTCTCTCACAGAGCGGAAAGATGGGGCTCAGCGAGACGTGGTGCCTGGCACCGCTCGAAACGAGAGGAATGCAGGGCGCTCACGCAGCACCCACAGAGTCTTGCTGCTGGAATCACGCTGCGCAGGGAGGCAGGGTGGGTTTGTTGCACCTCAGCCTCATGAGGTTTTAAGAGGGAACCACAGCACGGGGTTATCTACTTCACCTCTCTGACCTGCAGTCGTGAGGGGAGCAAGAATGGAGCGAGCAACCCTGGAAAAGGCAATTAAATAAACATCCCTCAGCCTGTGCTCCCTTAGGATACAGCAGGAAGATGCTGTCAGGCAGCTCTGTTGCTATAAAGTCGTGGCAATGCTTCCTTCCTCTCTTCTCTACATAGTCTCTCTTCTAGTGATTTATGCCACAGCTTGTCTTGGGCGCTGAACCCCAGAGAAAGGATATTTTTACCTATTACAGCTTTGGGGGCAGGGAGTGGTGGAATGAAACAGACAAAGGAATGGAGTGCGGATGGTGCAGAGCATGAGATCTGACAGGAGGAGGGAATGCACAGCCCCCTCCAAAAAAAATGTGCAGAGGAAGAGGGGACTCCAGATTTGGGCTTGGCAGCAATCAGCTCGACATCTGGGCGTGATGGCTCAGCCCTCCACAGAGGTAGGTATAGATTGCCTAACTGGAAATGGGGAAAAAAAAAAGCTTTAGCAAAATAAGCAAATGCTTAATAGCGTGCTTCTCCTCGGCAGAGCGTTACACTCAGCACAAAAGCCACGGCTCGTGGCCATCCATCTTCTCGGTGTCAGGGGTTCCTGAGATCGTATCGTGCTCTTCCTCCCCTTCGTGCAGGGCTTCCTGCGAGGTCCCGCCTGCAGCTCCAAGTGTCCTGATCTTCAAAGCCCTCCCTGGCACGGAGCCTACCCCTGCAGACACCCCATGTCCCATCTGTACCTCGCTCCCCGATCTTTCCGCATCCTCTTATGCCCTCGCAGCGCTGAGTGCCGCCGCCTGCGCGGGGACCCAGAAGCGAGCTCGCCTTTTTCCTTTCCCTTTTTGACCGCGAACTGGAGGTTCGCTCCAACGCCTTCTCAGAAAATTAAATAATTAATTAATTAAATAAATAAATAAGGCAGGAGGGGAGGGCTTGGTGACTTCATTGACTTCAGGCCCTTCTCTCCTCCTCGCAGGCGGGGCTGCGCCGCCGCCCTCCCCTCCCCTCCTCTCCCGTCCCTTCCCCTCCCCGCTGTGCTCCCGCTGCCTCCCTTTCCCCTCGGCGGAGCGGCTGCCCCCATGTCGGGCCCACGGGGCGCCCTCCAAGCCTGGTGCCGGCAGCAGTGCCAGGGCTACCGAGGCGTGGAGATCCGCGACCTCAGCGCCTCGTTCCGCGACGGCCTGGCCTTCTGCGCCATCCTGCACCGCCACCGGCCCGACCTGCTGTGAGTTAAAGGCCGGGGGGAGGACAGGAGGGGAGGCGGAGGGGTGTCCCCCATGGGGTTTTTGGGGCTGGGGTTGGGGGAGAAGAGGGAATGGGAGCGTGGCGAGGCGGACGGGAGCTTGGGCTGGCTGCGGGGCACGCTGGTGAAACTGGATGAGCCGTGGAAGGAATCTGCCCCGACCTGCTGCTGCTGCTACTACTGCTGCTGTAACCCTGCCTGCCCTCAGCTGCCATCAGCTGAGGCTGCCTCGACTGGCCAAATCCTCTTTTCCGAGCTGGCCCTGGGGTGGCCTTTTGTCACAACAGCATCAAAAGCAGTCTACAGCAGGCCACCGGGAAGCAGCGATGCCCCAGCGATGCCCCAGCACCTGTGTTGGTACAAGCAGAAGCTGCACAGGTAGGCTGGAAACCCTGCTGCTGGCTGACTTTTTGTGGGGTGGACAGCTCGAAACCCTCGGTGTGGTGTTGAGGAGTCACCCAGAGCCCAGCCAGCAAGGGTTTGGTGCCGACCAGGCAGAGCAGAGCCTCTGAGGATGCTCCTGGTCTCAAGGGTGCTACGTGCTTCATCTGCTGGAGAGGAAGAGGCAAATCAAGGACCAGAACAGCAGCAGCTCCTGAGTTTCTGATTTTTCAGTCGGTGGCACAGTCACAGAACCAAAAAGCGAAGGTTCAGCAAAAGCTGACAATAAAGACCACTAAAAGCACCTGCTGGCTTCCCGATGACCGTATTTACGTATTTTCTTCAGTTGTCAGTGGGCTTACAGCAGCTCCTGGCAGATGTCCTTACCAAAAGGCTTCACAGTTGCTCTGTACAAGCCGCCTTGTAAAGGCAGAGCCCAGAGCCTTACAAGGACATGGCATCTCGTGGCAGGATTTTCGCAGGGTGGTCAGGAGCAGCACCATTTCATCCGATTCCAGCTTCCCCAGCCTGCCCTGATTTGGAAGTGGGAGGTTTGGATCAGAGGCAGCAAATCTCGGATGCTGCCCGGGGAGCGCTGATTTTTCTGAAAGCAGCAGCCAAAGCTGGAAGTGCTCGGTGTCTGCTGAATCCACAACGCCTTGAACTGCCCACCGAGGGAAGGCTGCACGCTTGTGGGACCCGTGTGTTTAACCACGAGGCTGAACGTCCGCATCCAGGCCTTCCAGCTCTTCTTCCACTGAGTGCACACCTTGGTTTCGCTGCCTCGCTCTCCCTGTCTGGGAGCAGCAGAGGCACTCCTCTGGCAAACCTGCTCCCTCGGGGGCAACCTGGATTTAGTGTGACCGTGATCTTGGGGCAAGACGTTTAATCTCTCCTTTCCTCCTGTCAGCTAAGCTGGAAGCGTCCAGGCCAACTTGACAGCAGGCTGCGGGGCTTAAGGAGTTTGTTTGCTTAGTGTTCTCGAAATCTGAAGCACGAAATATATGTTTGCGAGGCGTCTGTGGCAGCTTAGCAAACCAACGGGCATCTTTTAGCTTCCCAGAGCTCAGGGGAGGTTTTTGGCATTCAGGAGCCAGAAGAACACGGGGGCACAGCACACACCTTTCAAGCACCAAGAGAGAGACGGAGGCTTGAGGAAAATGGGAGAGGAGAGCCGTGTTTGAAGGCTGCTGGGCCTCAGGATTGCTCACAGACAGGCTCACAAATCCCGTTTGTTCCCTCTCATGTCCTGCCTACGTTTCCCTGACAAGCTCTGGGCAGCTGAAGGCCTCGTTGTGCGGCGCTGCCGTTAGCGAGCCCGTGGTTGATATTTGAGGAATCCAGGGATTTGCTTGGGTTTTAGCAGAGCAGCACACCCTTCCCCCCTTCCTTCCCCGGGCCTGCTGCGCTCGCTGGCAGCTGCCCTCAACCCCACAGCACTTAGTGGCTTGGCCAGTATCTAATTAGGGAAGCGCTCGGGACGTTATTTGCATGGAAATATTCCTCCAGGATACGCTGCCACGCCGGGGTTTGCCGAGCCGAGGCGTCCCATCAACTGGGATGTCCAGAGTCTCTTATTCTCACGTCCGATGCCTTGGACTGGTGGTTCCTGGTGGTTCCTCGGGAGAGGAGATGATGGCTGGGGAAACCCTCCCGTGCTCTTTGCACGTCCTTACGGGTGATGGAGACCGGCGTGGTCCAGTTTGTGCCTGGAGAGAGCTAGAAAAGGCAGCAGAGAGCAACCAAATGAGCTGTGCTCCCCAGGGCCTCGTGCTGGTGGAACTCAATATCCAGGGTAAAAGCAGAGATTTTTTGCTCCTGCATTAGTGGGAAAACCATCCTCATATTCCCTCACCGCCCAGGAGCCCTCCTGTTGCCTTCTGAGCCTCACGTCCTCCCTGCTGTCATCCGCTTTCCCAGGCAGATTTGCTTTTCTAAAATGGCTTTTTTTTTTTTTTTAATTTGCTAGGGTGGGGTGGAGTGGACATGTGTTTTTGTCTGTCAAAAACTCCCAGCCCAGGCCACCAAGGAGCCTTCAAGCTGCACCACTCCCATATCCTGCAAGCGAGGGCATTCAACACGAAGCTTGTTACTGCTCAGAGGGCAGCCGACCCCTAACTGCTGTCATCACTTCTTCTCCGTTCCCAAGCTGGGATTTTCTTTAAAAGAGAAGTAATAAAGAAATGCAGCAAGGTTAAAGGAGTTCTCCAGGCAAAAAAAAAGACCCGGAGGAAGAACATCTCCCAGTGGAAACTGGTCGTAAATATGGAAAAGGCCCCAGCATTCACATCAAAGTGAAGCCTGCCACTGAAACCTTTTCTCAGCAGTGTGCAGGGTGGGAAAAGTTGTGGTGTTTCGACCCGTCTGAGTTCTGTGGGCTCGTTCGCCTGTGCTTTCTGCAAGGTGCTTCTGTAGGACGCCCAGCCCTCCTCTGCACGCCTCCTGCTTTCGCTCTGGCAGCTCGGTTCGCCTCGGAGGAAACGGCACCAGCAGCCTCTCGCTTTTGAACGGAGGAAGTGTAATTTTATGGGGTCGTGGGCAGCTGGGAAAAGCTCCCCGAGCTCTTCGGGGACTTCCTCTGCAGCCCTGGGCCAGGCACGCGAGCGGTGCTGAGGAGGGCCCCGGGAGCCTGCGGGGGGAATCCTGCGTCGCTGTCCCAAATTTTGGCACCTTTCACTGCGCCGTCAGGTTGGTTTCAGCTGCTGCTGAACCCCTCTGGGCTGTGAATGTAGCTCGCAGGCACATCGTGCTGCTGCACGAGGGTTTTTTTTTGTAAAGAAGCTGAGATCTTCGACAGGAAGGGGTTATATTTGGTTGAGCGTGATGCTGTTTTCACACCCAATGCCCCCATAAACGTGCAACAGGCGTAGCTAACTCCTTCCTGTATTTCTTCCCCTCTCTGGAAAACCTGCAGGTTATTTTAACCTTCAGTCCCCTCCTGTGGCCATGCTCCTCTGGCAAGGGGAGCTGCTCGATCCCCGGTTTGATTTCCCAAAGGGATGTGAAGGGATAGGTGAAATCCCACAGTGTGCCCACAATGGGAACTGCTTGGGGTTCCTCTCTGTGCCCTGGTTATTTCTGCAGCCTGTACCACACAGGCAGAAATTAGAGGTGGAGCCTCTAATTTCCTGCCCAACACCCATTTGAGACTTTCTTTTCTTAATTCCAGTTTCCCTCACAATTTTTCTGCTTTACCAAGGCTTTGTTTATCTAGGTTCTTACGTGCTGACTTGCTGAAACGCCCGAGGAAGGTTGTCTATCCCGAAAACCTTCGTGTGGTGGCATTGGGGCGCTCACGTCTCTCACCTCTGTGTCTCACGTCGCTTGTTTGTGCTTTCTCATTTCAGAGACTTCGATTCTCTCTCCAAGGAAAATGTCTACGAAAATAACCGCTTGGTAAGTCCCTGCTGCACCGTGCACAGAAGGAAAAAGGAACACGAGAGGGACTGGAGGGAGGTCACGCAGCGGGGAAGAAATTAGTGACAGCGCTGAGGGGGTGAGAGAAATCTCTTGGCAAGCAGCAGGCAGGAGCTTCTCTGGAAACGTCTGAAATACCAACGTCCAGCCTGCACTAAAGAGAAGATAAGGTGGTTATCCTGGTAGTTGCATCCCCCTGCCCTCAGAGATCACTTGTGGGTGTGCTGCCCTGAGAGCAACAGCAGGATGCGGAGTGTAGCTGGTAATCTGCGAGTACTGCTGGGTGGGAAGCTCTCAAGTGGCTATTTTCTTCCTTCACTGCTTCCTTTCAAGTAGCCGTGTACGTAACTGCAGGAGTTATGTGCTTTTTGCACAGTGTCGCTGTTATTTCTGCTCGCCGAGACCCAGAAAAGCACCCAAGTGGCTTGTGTGCGGCAGGCGTGGCTGCGCTGGTGGTGGCAGGAGGAGATGTGGCACCCCAGAGTGTGAAAGGATGGGCAGGGACTGGGTTTCTGTGGGCTCAGAGTTTGGGGTGACCGAGGCCACCACGCAGTAGAGCTCATATTTGGCTGTGTAGGAATTACCTGCAGGTCCTCGGCCCTCCCCAGAGCCAGCCAAGGCTCTGCCAGGCTCTTGCTTGAGGGTAAGTGGTGGTGTGCCTGTTTCACAGGTTGAAAAACCACATCTTTTTCAGCTCTCAGACCTCCTGAGAGCCCCCCTGAGCGGTAGCTGAATGGCAAGAGCATTTGGGAGGGAGCTGCAGGGGTGCAGACAGCTGAAATGACACCGGGGCAGCTGCAGCAACTTGTTCCCTTGCCCTCCTGCTGCCTTCTTCCCAGTCAAGCAGCACGTCTGGGATCCCCCGTCTACCCGGGATGCCACAGGCTTACTGCTTAGTCTCCAGCGGGATCCTCCCGGCTTGATTTCTGTGTTATTTGTCAGAGGGTATCAATTTCCTCTCGTTACCACCTCTTTCTGCTGTTCCCGCAGGCCTTCGAGTTGGCAGAGCGGGAGCTGGGCATCCCGGCTCTGCTAGATCCCAACGACATGGTCTCCATGAAAGTCCCCGACTGCCTCAGCATCATGACTTACGTCTCTCAGTATTACAACCATTTCAACAACCCCAGCCAAGGTGGGTGCCCTTCCCCACCTCTGCCTTCCAGTTTGCCCCCAAACTGGCTCCAGAAACCCACAGGCGCCACGTGCTGAGAGAAATCTTCCCAATTCCTTCCATCCCCTTCCTATTCCTAGCCCAAACCTTGTATTTTTTATTTTTATTTTGGGGCATGGAGTGCTCTGCATCTAAAAATTGGATTTTATGGGAGTTGGGGCTGACACGTGGGAAGGGATCCTGTGTGGTGGTTTTGCAGTTCAGCATTTGTGGGGTCCTGCAGCCACTTTGGGGGCGGGTGTTTGGAGGTTTGTGGGCCTGGAGGTAGGGGAAAACCTTCCTTTCTGTAGAAAATGGGAGAGGGACAGATAACACCTGCCTGTTCTGGATCGTGGCGGTGCTGGTGAGTCAAGCCTGGAACAGGGAGTTGGGTAGGGCGAGGTTTCACAAGAGGCAGGGAGGGATTTAACAGCTCACCTGGGGAACGCCTTGCTTCTCCTCCCTCCCTGCTGCATTCCTGCCGCTTGGCTTGCCCCTGGAGCACATCAGACCCCTCTGTGATTTGCTTTACCCCACTGAGGAAAGCTAGATAGGGAACGTGCCTACCACAGCTGGTTTTTATCACCCTGCTAAGCTTGGAGTGGCAGGGGAAGCAGGGTGGGGTGTCCTCAACCAGCTCATCTGTCCTTACAACTGCAACCTAAGCTCTGAGACAGCTCTTCCAGGGCATCCCTCCGGGGTGGAGGCCGGAGCTCCAGGCCTCTGCTCTGCTCCCTGGCTCCAGCACGCCAGAGAAATCTCTCCCACGTGCGTGGATGTGAGCACTTCTCCAGGGATGCTGGCCTCCCAGCCAAGGCCAGGGGTGCTCCACAGACCCACTGGCACCCCAGAACCCAGTAGGGAACAATAATGCATTAGCAGCAGATATTTAGGGTGCTCTGGTCTTTAAGCATCGCTTGGGGAGCTGATAATGAGGAAGACAAGAGGCACTGGATGGGTAAATCAAATGATGGTGACAGGCTGGTGTCCGTGGGCCGCAGAAGGGGACCTGCTGCAGGCTCGTGGCTGCCCCGTTACCAGATTGCCTTTCCCTCTGCCCCCTAAAACAGGCACCAAGTGGCAAGTCCCATCCTGTGTCACAAGGCTGCTTTTTTTTTTTCTTTCCCCTCCCCTCCCCTTCCCCCACACGCGTGGCATGAGTCACAGCTCTCGCCTGATCCTCCTTTTTGCCTTCTGTCTCCAGCCAGAGTCCCTCCGCCTATGAAGCGCCCGGCCGCTGCCTCCTCGCCGCCCCTGCTGTCCCACAAGAAGCCCGTGGCTGCGGCCGAGAGTTCCTCCACGCCACAGGTACCTCCCAAATCCTTGATTTGAGGCAGCCTGAGGCTGTGGTCCTCCAGGGCGAGGGGAGGGGAGAGAGCCCATCACAGTGAGATCGGTCTGTGTGGGGGGCTAGCAGCTGCGTGTTTTGGGGTAGGAGGGGTGTTTGGGGTTTTGGTGGCTTGGGAGACCCTATGGAGAGTGTGCTTGCTCTCTAGGACCGAAATTTGTCCTCTGGTAAGGAACAGGCCAAGGGGGGTGGGAATGGGGTGGTTCCTTCAGCACCCAGAGCACAAACACCTCCCTTCCTACGGAAGGCTGATGCTGTGGGTGAGGCAGGAGCAGGAATGTGGCATCAGGTGAGCAGAAAAGACATCTCCTGCTGCTCTGGAGGAGCCACGGGCCGGTGGCGAGGACCTCGTGGCCCCCCTCGCTGAGCTCCCTGCCTGTCACCCCTCAGGACGATGTCCCCGCGGAGCCGTCGCGGCGCTCCACGCTCAGCAGCACCTGCGCCGCCTGCCAGCAGCACGTCCACCTGGTGCAGCGCTACCTGGCCGAGGGCAAGCTCTACCACCGCCAGTGCTTCAGGTACGTGGCCAGCAGCCAGCCAGACCCCTTCCCTGCGTGTCTTTTTGCAGCACGGAGCCTCCAGGGAGAGGGGTTCGGTGATGGTGTTACCCCTCGAGGGCTGGCTGGTTCCTTGTGTGCAGCCCTATGCTGCTTGCTGCCCCCGCTCCCTGCCTCTCCTGCTCCTTCCCACTCTGCTTGCCAGCTTCTTGTGCTTCTCCCGGCCCCCAAAACCAGGATGTTTTGCCTCTTTACTGCCTCCCTACCACATAACACCCCCACCACGAGATCAGCCCCGCAGATCTCCTTCCCCCCTCGGTGCCCGGGGCGGTGCTGAGCTCTCAGGGGCAGCGTGTGGGGAGCTGCAAGCTGTTAGCAAACGGAGGAAGGAGGCATCAGCAGCCCTGCAGTTACTCCCTGGCTGCAGGTCCTTACCTGCAGCACCAGTGAAGTCATTTGGCTTCGCTTTCCCTGCTGGGATGAGAAGGGGGTGAGATCTTTCCTCTGGACCACAGGATGAGAGCCTGCAAGCGGGCAGGCGGCATCTGAGGGCAGAAAAGCTGAGCCACAGGAAAGTTATGAGAGGCCTCGTTTCACTGTGTGAGCAGCTCCTGACTAAGCCAGCCAGGGGTGTGTTTTAGAAAGAGTATTGTGAGAGAGGAGCCGTGCTGGGACCCAACACGCTTCTTGTCCGCAGCTGGGGCAGAAGCAGGAGCTTTGGAGAGCAGGTGCAGCACTGTTTTAGGGCCAGGAACGGGAGAGCTGCAGCGCCTGTCTTGGCACAGCTCGTGGCCCTTCAGACTGAGCAGTGAGAGTCCCAAAACGTCATCCTAAGTATTTTTTCTCTGTGTGCTTTCCTTGTCTTTTTGTTGTTTTTTTTTTTTTTTTTCCCCTGCTGATTCACGGCTGCTGTTTGCTCGGGAGCGTTCCGTGGCAGCGTGCTCTGTGGGCTGACAGAGATAAAACCCAAACAAACTTCTGTCTCCCCGTGTCCGAACTTGTTACCTCTCTATTTCGTCATACCTCTTCTCCCCGCCCCGCTGTCTTTACGCTTCTGCTCTGCATTTCAAAGGAAGCAGCAGCCAAGTGGACACCCGGAGCAGAATTCCTCACCCAAATTATCTGATTGCGGCGCAGGGCGGCCAGCAGCTGTGAGCGCCGGGTGGTCAGGCAAGAAGAAACAAGCTTGGCTTTCATGGGACTGCTTCCTCAGCCCCTTGCCCTCGGCTCTTTCGTATAGGCTGTCCTCCTCCCTTCCCAGGTGGAAAAGGGCTGAGCCGGTTGCCCGGGCTGTGTCCTTAGGGTTGCACCTCGAGGGCTTCATTAGGGAGGAGTCAAAGGTTCAGCAGGGAGAGGGTGGACGAGCCTCAGAGCAGGCATGGATGTTCCTTCTCCTGGCTGCCCTTCAAGCCTCCAGCTTAGGGATTTCCTGAGCCACAAGTAGCATTGTTTGAGTTCATGCTCAGGTGCATCTTTTCCAGCCTGGCACGTCTCATTCTCTGGGCTCTGGAAACCGTGCTGCCCCCCAGCACCACCGTTGCCCCTTATTACATCCTTTCTGAGCTGAAAGAGGAACCCAAACGCATGCAGCATTGGAGCTGCGAGCTCACCGAGGGCACACAGTGGTGTGATGATGTTTTTCTGTTCCTCTCCTTCCCTGCACGACTTCCCCCAAGATCACGATGCGATTTAGCAGCAGGGGTGAAGCCCTGCAAGGATCTCCGAGTGCCAGCCCTTCTCCTCGGACCCATCGGTACTCCCACCTCACGGGGCTCTTTCTTCTCCTTGGCAGGTGCAAGGAGTGCTCCAGCACCCTGCTCCCGGGCTCGTACAAGCCCGGCTCGGAGGCGGGGACGTTTGTCTGCACACACCATCGCGGGAAATTGGCCGTGAGCGGGAAGATGGACAGGAGGGCCAGCCCCGAGCGGCAGTCGCCGGAGCTGAGAACTGAAATTGCTGCCGGCAGCGTGGGGGAGGACGGGCTCCCTGCAGGAGCAGAGGTGGGAAAGGACAACAGCACTGCTGTGGAGAACGTGGCGGAGACCCAGATGCCTGCAGAGAGGCCAGCCAGCCCGGAGGAGAAGGACAGCACCTCCAGCAAAGCCCAGACAGCGACGCCGCACGCGGGGAGCGCGGCACCCACCTCCCAAACACCCCCCAGGCCTCCCCTTCCCAGCAAGCCCTCAGCGCCCAGCCAGGACAAAGCCAGCCCTCTGGACGCACGCCTCAGAGACACTCGGCCCACCCCGGCCCCGAGGAGGTCGATGGATGCCTCAGCCCTCTCCCCTGCAGCCTCCCACCCCGTGCCCCGGCCCCGTTCCACCGTGCAGGGCGAGGGAAGTGACTGCGCGCCTGGCTTGGTGAACGGTGAGAGAGCCTGGTGCCGTTTCGTCCACCAGTTCCCTTCTTTCTCTGCAGCCTGGCGCCCTTCTGCCTGCAGATAAATCTTGGGCTCGTTTTATTTCTTATTTCTTGCTCCGTTTGATTTCTCCGGGGCTTTCCAGAGGGTGCTGGGAGGTGGCGGCGTGCAGGGGTGGAAACAGAGGGACGTGTCGGTCTTACAGCTTCAACTCCAGGGTAAAGTTGGGGGGAAAAGGGGGTATTTGGGGGAGACTGGCTGCACTGAGCCCGGGAGAAATGCCACGAGGTTTGCAGAATAGTGGGAACCACCAGGCTCCCACGGGGAGATGCACCTTTGTGTTGATTTAACCTCTTTCTATGTGTCGTTTTGGTTTTGTGACAGTCTGCCCCTCTGTCTTTCTAGGTAGGGGACCTGAGCCCAGCCCCCCTGTCCCAAAACCTCGAGGGAGACCCTGCTCCTCCGATCGGTACGTCCTTCTGTTCGCAGGGATCCCCCGAGCTGCTCCCTGCCTCCTCGCGCTACCTTCTCCTCTCTTCTCCCAGTGCTGGAGCTGCTGCGAGAGCCAAGGACCCGCCGTGGATGGCCTTAGTGCAGGCAGAGCCCAAGAAGAAGCCAGCTCCTCCTCCTCCTCCTCCCCCGGGGAGCGGCCACGAGACCCCGAGCAGGACGGAGGAGGAGGAGGAGGACGGGGAGGAGGTGAGCAAAGCCAAGAGTGAGGAGAGCAAGCCCGATGCTGCAGAGCCCAAACCGTACAACCCCTTTGAGGAGGAGGAGGAGGAGGAAGAGGAGGTTGCTGCTGCCCAGAAGAGCACGCCTGAGCAGGAGCAGGGGGAGGCTGCTGCCAAATCCCTCCACCCCTGGTACGGGATCACTCCCACCAGCAGCCCCAAGGCAAAGAAGCGGCCAGCCCCGCGAGCCCCCAGTGCCTCCCCGCTCGGTGAGCTTTCCCCCACCCCGTTATCCCTCCTCCTCACCCCTTCCACACACCCCTAACCCCACTGTGTACCCCCTCCCTCCTCTCCCGGCTGCCCCCCTTACCCCCCGAGCTCTCCCTTCCCTTTGCAGCCCACCACCCCGTCTCCAGGCTGTCGCACTCCGAGCCGTCCTCCTCCGCTCCGTCCCCAGCCCTCAGCCTGGAGAGCATCCACTCGGAGAGCTCGGCCAAGGCGCTGGCTGACACCGACGAGGCCTCGGTGCCCAAAAGCTCCTCCGAGCCCACCGTCCACACGCCGACGGCCACCAAGACCTCCAGCCCCGACACGCCGCTGGCCAGCGTCTCCTCCAGCGAGAGCCCTGCCGCCCCCGCCAGCCTCTCCACCACCACCTCCTCCTCCTTCTCCTCCTCCAGCGAGCTGGCTGGCTGCGGTGGGGAGGCGCAGCCCGGCGCCCCGCACGCCAGCAGGAGCATCTCTGCTGGCAGCTTAAAGACCAGCCCCAGCCGCCTGCCCCCCAAGCCTCCTGCTGGGGCTAGTCCCACACCCATCCTCTTGGCTTCGGATGGGGGTGCCGGGAGCCCTAAGCCCCCCTCTTCGCCCAAACCCCAGCTGAAGGTGAGGTGGTGACCTCAAAGCGGGGATTTGGTCTGGGTTTGTGCCTGACACGGGTTTGGGGTGGGGTGTGTGTGTGTCCCGAAAGCAAGGCTCGGGGGTGTGTTGGTTAAGTGGTGGCCGTGCTCCTGTTCTGCTTGCCCCGCAGTGCGAAATTCCACGTGCCCAAAGCAAACAAGAAGGGAACCATCACAAAAATAATTCGGCGAGCTCGTTAGAGGGAGGCTGGGGAACCCATACCAAATTTGAGGACAGCTGTTTGTCACCCCATGGTGGGGATCAGTGCTGTGCTCCTCTAGGAGGGTGTGGGGTAGGACAGGCTGTAGGGCTGCCCGTCTGCTCGACCCCAGCTCTTGGGATGCTGTACCCCTTCCAGACCCTCACACATCATCTCCCTTTGTCCTCTCGCTGCAGTCCTCCTGCAAAGAGAACCCCTTCAACCGAAAGCCATCGCCTGCTGCCTCGCCCTCGGCAAAGAAACCTCCCAAGGGCTCCAAGCCAGCGCGTCCTCCTGCACCGGGTCACGGCTTCCCGCTGATCAAACGCAAGGTAAAAGGGTCCTCGGAGAAACCACGGGGGAAAGAGCAGCCTGCGGGATGCTAGGAGATGGAGGGTGGTGGTAACGGCAGTCCCCGCTGTGGGGTTCGGCAGGTGCAGACGGATCAGTACATCCCCGAGGAAGACATCTACGGAGAGATGGATGCCATCGAGCACCAGCTGGACCAGCTGGAGCACCGCGGGGTGGCCTTGGAGGAGAAGCTCCGCAGCGCTGAGAATGGTAGGTGGGGCAGGACAGAGCACAAAAAAACCATGCGGGGGCTCCAGGAGAGGTCCCAGCCCCGCTCGTGGAGTGGAAGCAGGTGAAAGAGGAGACGAGGATTTTTTTTTCTGGGGCTCAGGAAGAGGATGAGGTCAGGCTGACCCTCGCGGAGTGCTGACGGGATCCTGCGGGGTTGGGGCTGGCTCTGAACTGTCCTTTTGCTTGGCAGACAGCCCCGAGGACAGCCTGCTGGTGGACTGGTTCAAGCTCATCCACGAGAAGCACATGCTGGTGCGCCACGAGTCGGAGCTCATCTACATGTAAGCACGCGTGTGTGTGCGTGGTAGGGGGCACCGACGGTGCCGTGGGGAGTCCTGCCAAAACTGGAGGGCCTGGAGAAGTAGGGGAAGGAGGGCGAGCAGCCAAAAGTGTCCAAAAATACTCAGAACCGACCTCAGAAAGGCATCGAGCAGTCGGGGTTGGGCCCTGGTGGGGCTTGGCTCGGTTCTTCCCGAGGTCACCCCCAATTTTGGGATGATGCTCTGCCTTTCTGGAGCCTGGCAGCGGGTCCCAGCCATGCCCCCTTCCCTTGCAGCTTCAAGCAGCAGAACCTGGAGCAGCGGCAGGCGGACGTGGAGTACGAGCTGCGCTGCCTCCTCAACAAGCCAGGTAAAGCAGCGCCCCGGCTCTTGCTGCCTCCGCTTCTCCCCTTGGGGCTTCACCTCTGGGATCCCCGAAGCTCAGAGCTCCTCCAGCCGTGTAATTGCCTGTCCTTCCTTGGGGTTTGGCTCGGCAGAGAAGGACTGGACCGAGGAGGACCGGGTGAGGGAGCAGGTGCTGATGCAGGAGCTGGTGACCATCATCGAGCAGAGGAACGCCATCGTCAACTGCCTGGACGAGGACCGGCAGAGGTGAGGAGCAATGCGGGGTGGGGGCGAGGGGAAGAGTGGGTTTTCCTGACTCAGCCCCACAAAAAAAAACCTTTAAACACCGCAGCAGCTGTTCTCGGGGTCGAATCGCTGAGCTGTCTCCCCCTTCTTTCTTTCAGGGAAGAGGAGGAGGATAAAATGTTGGAAGCCATGATTAAAAGGAAAGGTAAGGAACGAGCGGGAGGACTGCGGAGCCGTGGTTTCGCCGCTGACCTCAGCGAGGGGCAGCGCCTAAACCATTCATGAAATTGCGTGCAGAAGGAGGAAGCGACACTGCTCCGTGCAGACAATGAGGCCTTTCCTGTAGGGCCCTGAAAAGTTGGGAGCACGGCTGGGCTCTGAGGCCCTGCTGGGCAGAAGGAAGCGTGCGTGCGGCGGAGGGCTTTGATTCCTTGTCCCTGTTGTTGTGTGCGCGACCCGCTAACCCCCCTCCTTTGCCACCCCAGAATTCCACAAGGAGACGGAGGCCGAGGGCAAGAAGAAAGGCAAATTCAAGCCCATGAAGGTGCTCAAGCTGCTGGGCAACAAGCACGACTCCAAGAGCAAGTCACCCAAGGAGAAAAGCTAGGGCAGGGCCGACGCGCTGCCTGACCGCCCCGGGGTAGGGGGCCTGCCCGAATTCCTCCTCCGAAGCCTTGCTAACAAGGTCGGGAGCAAGTGGAGTCGCTTTTCAGAACTGTTTCCCTGTCGCCTGTCCGTGTTCCTGCCTGAGAAGCAAGCCGAGGAGCTTGGTGTTTGTGGGAAAACTTGCACTAACTGCCCCCCCCCCTTCCCCTTGCTCGTCCTGTGACAGCTCCGTTGTGCCTCCATCCATCCTCTTGCAGGGGGGGATCTGGCTGGCCCTCGCTCCCTGCTCTCATCCCCTTTTCCTGCCCCGTTTTTAACTGCAGGAGAAAAGCCTGGCATCGGAAGCAGGATTCTTTAGGTTTTACTGGCCTGAACTAAAATGTTTTAAAAAAAACTCTCACGTCACAAGGCTCTAGAGCCAAAAAAAAGAAAAATAACCGGGGCCCTATTTATTTCCAGCTGTCCCCTTGAGCATTACGGGGCTGAGAGGACCCCAGGGGACCGCGTACAGCTGCTCAGAGGCAGCCCTCGTGCCCTACTCAGGACATCTTACCCCCACTGCTGCTAACCACCGCTGCCTGCTGCCCTCGGGGGGAGGGAGGAACATTCCTGTCCCAGGCCAGGGCAGAAAAGCACAAGACTGACTCAGTGCAAGGGGCGAGCCCCTGCTCACCAGTGCCACCCTTGAGCGGCTGGGGGGAGAGGCAGAGTCGCAACTGACCTTTCCCCAGCTTCGTCTGTATATACTTTAAAAGTGTGTAAAGAGGGTTTGGCTGGTTGGTTTTATTTTTTTTTTTTACGCCTCCTTTACTACATGAATTCCAACCCGCCCCGAAACTCTTCAAACCCTTATTTTATTTGTTGTATGTGTGTGTGTGTGTACATCAGGGGAGGGAAGGGGCGGGCGGTATCCTTCCACCCATCCCTTCTTCCTTCCAGTTTTGTTCTCCTGCCTTCTCCTCCAAGGCGAGGAGCTATTTATTGCCTCCTTCGATCGTTTTGTTCCACGGGTGTTTGGTCGGTCAGCTGTTTTGTCACGCCTTCCCCTTAGCAAATCAGTCGTGTCAGCCCCCAGCTCCCTTCCAGAAATACAGCAGGCTTCAGCCCAAACCCTCTCGAAGCAGTGCCTTGCGACACGGCTGGCAGGGGGCGTTCTGGAAACAGCCCCCCAGTTTCTCCCAAACGCTGTGCCGCTCCTGCCACACCTCAGCAGGCTGCTCAGGAGCGGCGGTAGGGGAGAGATCCCAAAGCACAACTCTTCTCCGGGGAGAAACGCGTCCGTTTTAGAGCCTGCTGTCGCGTCGCCGTTGCCAAAGGCCGTCAGGATGGCCGCAGCCTGACACCTCCTTGGCCCCGTGCCCGGTCAGAACCTTGGTTTGTAAGTTACACTGTACTAACTCCGTGACTTCCATTCACCTGAAGAGAAATAAAAAAGAAAAAAGGATTTAAAAACCGATCACGGCTTAGGTTTCTTATTCCTTTCTGTGCTCACGCTGTCCTGGGGACAGGGCATGCTGCCTGCCTGATGAGCATTGCTAAGAAGCAGCTGATGGGACTTTAAAATCCACCTCCAGATTTCCTTAGCCTCAGCCTGCTGAAGGACAGAGGCGGTGACTCAGTGGCCATTTCCAGGCTTTGTGGGGGACTGAGGGCTGCTCAGCATACCACGCTTTCAGGAACCAAAAAACCACAGCGAGCCTGCTGTGAAGAGCAGCACACTGAAATCCCCTCTCCCCCAACACTGAATCTGTCTTCCTGAGCGCCTGCCCACTTTAGCTGCCCCGGAGAAGTCTGCTGATGCACGCAGTCACGCTGACCTGCAGTAATGCTGGAGGCTCGTGCTTGCGCAAGGCCAGGCTGCTGCGTCTTCCTCCTCGCCCTCTGCCAGCGCAGCCGTTCCCGGAGCTGCGCGGGCTGGAGCGGGTCGTGGATGCGGGTGGTGACACGTCAGCATCGTACCTCTGCTAGAAACCTCCTCTGGGGAGATGGAGGAGGAGTGACATTTGTAGCTGCGTGGAGTGCTGTGCTCTGAGGCATTGTGTAACCAAAAGGCTTTGTCATGTTTTAATAGCTGCTGCTCTGTGTTTTCATCTCTTTAATATTGTTGAGCAGGAAGGGATCTGCTGCACGGGTAGGACTTTACAACAGCTTGCTACACACAAACAGTTCCTGCCTTCTGGCTTTAGGCAACAGGTGCTGCTGCCCCCTCTTCGGGGGAACCACTGAGAGAGAGGCAGGCACAGGCCAGCCATTGAGACTCTAATGCCAGGGATGGGGGAGAAGAGGTGGGAACAAACTGCATTTGCGATTTTCCCTTGGCTTAGTCACGGGAATCGGATTTGTTCCCAGCAGGAAAGTCTTTTGTCATGGTCTCTCTCACTTCCTCGCTTCTCTTCTTGTCAATGATCTCCATCTCGCGCATTTTCTGCGAAGGACAAAGGGGAAGGGCTGAGCGAGGAGAATGCCAAGAGCTTTTAATCTTTTTTTTTTAAGCAAACTCCAAGAGCAAAGGTTCTGCTTCCCTGATTAAGGTGCATGCAGATGTAGAAAGGAAGGCTGAAAGCCTCCTATCCCCAATTTCTCAAATTCATGCCCCTCTTGTGCCACAAAAAGCAATTAGTTGTCCCCTCTTCTTCCCTGCTCGGCTATAAGAGGGAAACCGTGCTTTAGGGTTTCTGATACTTAACATCCTGTAGGGCCAGTGCTGCCAGGGCCCTCACATACCTGGGAGATTTCAGTGAGGATAATTCTCTGATACTTCTTGCCCTGTCCTAGCGCTTCCATCTCTGCCAGGAACTCCCGCCTCTCCCGAACTTCATTCACCACTGACAAAGAGAAAACACTGTGAAAAAAAAAGTTTTCATTGCAATGAGAGAGTTTTCTGTGCTTAACAGTTGTCAATCTGTGCTGTCCCAGTTAAAACAGGGCTGTCTGGAGTGCTCACACACACAGTTCCAAGCACAGGGAGGCATAAGGCAGGGTTTTGCCATCCCAGCATACTGTGCAGGCCAAAGTCCACCACTGCTTAAAATTCTGCCCTACTTTTAAGCTTTGCTAGCATAGCTTTACTGATCTTGGAGTGAAAATAAACACAGCCCAAACCACGGTCAGGCTGGTAAACATCCCAGCCTACACTGAGTCACGCTGGCTGGAGAAAGGATCCACAGTACCTGGGCTTTCTGCCCAGGCTGCCCCTGCGAATCACCACGGTATTCCTCTGCCAGCAGTTTGTGTTCCGTGGGCAATCCAGACAGCCTGCATCTGCCAGCAAGCCTCTGCAGAACAAATTCTGCGAGGAAGGCTGGCTCACAGCAGCACGGTGTCAAGTCCTTTCTCTGGGAACCTGGCTTTGTGTTCTTTTCCACCCAGGGCTTCAGATTCGGGGCCACACAGCCTGCCTCACAACCCTCAGGAGCAGTTTTCCAGGCTTCCCCTCCTAGACTACATGACAACATACGTTCTTCAAAGCGGTCAATCTCAGCTATCTCCTCTTCCTTTGTGTCAACGAGCGCCTGCTTCACCTGGTGTTCCACCACATCCTTCCCTGTCGCTAAGATATTTTGGAGCCTTTGCTTCTCCCTTTCCAAATCTCCTGTGAATGAGAAGGGAAAAAAAATAAATCCTTAGCAGCCTGTCTCCTCAGCAAGGAGCCTGGCCACCCTGCTGCCTTGATAATGACACCAGAAGCGTGACATTAATGACGGTGCATCCCCAGACTGAACTGCACACGCATGCTCATTGTGAAGAGAAAACCAAACTGACATCAAAGGTTTGATACATGTTTATAAGATAGAAAATTATATAGCACCTCTTCTTACACAAGGATTGTACAAGGTCCTATCGCTTATAATTCCCCTAGCTAGTGGGCAGAAGTCAGTGAGCATTTGCAGTGAATGTTCTCTCAGAGATCTCTTTTTTAAGCATCTCTGCAGTCAGAAAGTATGAGGATGAAGAGTAATTAAGAACACCTCCTATGGCTGCTGAGGTTGCAGGCAGAGGGTGGACGTAAGGGGAAGACAGGGGGGCTGGGTGGCATGATTAGTGACATTTTCTGACTTACTCCTTGCTTGTGGCTTGAATTTCTCTCGGGTGTAAGCATCTCCTGCCTGGCAGAGCTTGGCAGGCCGAAGATGAGGTTTAGCTGAAAGCCTGCTCGGCTGACAGAGCGGTGGGGAGGAAGCAGGCGGCACGGGCGCTGGTTGCCTGCTGGATGTGGGGTGGCACTGGAGGGGCAAGGCATCTCCCCCTGCAGAACAAACCCAAAATATTGATGTCAGACACAGAGGAGCCTGGATGGCTGACCCCAGACAACCACCAGCTGAAGATCTGGCGTAGCGCAGCCAAGAACGATCCATGGTGCCACCGATGTTGCTCATGGATACACATCTTTTGGTGGACGTTTGGGGACACTTCACTGGGTACTTACACAAACCGTCAGCAGCAGTGCTGCCGTGTGGAAGGGGGCAGCGGGATGCCTCCATCCGAGCAGCCCTGAGGCGAGCACTCCCTCCATTGGGATGGGGGACATGTTCACCACAGCAGTGAGACGGGATGGCACTCACGTTCCAGGCACTCCATCAGGCATCGCCTCTGGAAGCTCGTCAGCTTCGACTCCTCCATCATGGCTGGAAAATAGCGTTTTTGTGTAAAAACCGGGCTCCCCACGTCCCTGTAACACCCAGAAAGGGAAGGGGGGGGGATCCCTATGGACCAGACAGACACAGACACGGGTCTCCCACCGCCTCACACAGCCCAAAAGCGCCCCTCGGAGCCTTCCCTGCCTCAAGCCCCGTTACCTCGCAGCAGCTCCCGTGTTTTGGGGCTGTACCGGGCTCTGCCTCCTCCCTCCGAGCCCGCCATGGCCGGCGGCGACCATGGAGGAGGGGGGTGAAGGAGGAGGGGGTAAAATGGCGGCGCGTCGCCACAGCAACGGCGCCATGGCGCAGGGCGCCCTATAGCGCGTCACGGGGAGCGACAGGGGCGGCCGGGGAGCAAGGAGACAAGATGTCTGACAACGAGGACAAGTGAGAGAGAGAGGGGCAGGGGGCGGCTGGGGGACGGGGAGCCATCGGGATCGGGATTGGGATTGGGAGTAGGATCGGGATTGGGGTTAGGATCGGGATCGGGGTCGGGAGTGGGATTAGGATCAGGATCGGGATTGGGGTCGGGGTCGGGATCGGGATTGAGATCGGGGTTGGGGTCGGGGTTGGGATCGGGATTGGGGTCGGGATCGGGGTCGGGATCGGGATTGGGATCGGGGTCGGGGTCGCGATTGGAATCAGGATCGGGGTCGGGATTGGGATCAGGATCAGGATTGGGATCGGGGTCGGGGTTGGGATTGGGGTTAGGATCGGGACTGGGATCAGGATCGGGATTGGGAGTAGGATCGGGATCAGGATCGGGGTCGGGAGTGGGATCGGGGTTGGGATTGGGATCGGGGTTGGGGTCGGGATCAGGATCGGGGTTGGGGTCGGAATTGGGATCAGGATGGGGGTCGGGATCAGGGTCGGGATCAGGATCGGGGTCGGGATTGGGATCAGGATCAGGATTGGGATCGGGGTCGGGGTCGGGATTGGGGTTAGGATCGGGACTGGGATCAGGATCGAGATCAGGATCGGGATTGGGGTCAGGATTGGGATCAGGATCAGGGTCGGGATTGGGATCAGGATCTAGATTGGGATTGAGATCAGGATCAGGATCAGGATTGGGATTAGGATCAGGATCGGGATCAGGGTCAGGATTGGGATCAGGATCTAGATTGGGATTGAGATCAGGATCGGGGTTGGGATCAGGATCGGGATCAGGATCTGGATCGGGACTGGGATCAGGATTAGAATCAGGATCAGGATCCGGACTGGGTGCCAGCAGCCAAGCGCATTGCCTGACATGCCCTTCCCTCTGCCCCTCAGCTTTGACGGAGATGATTTCGACGATGTGGAGGAGGATGAGGGCCTGGAGGACCTGGAGAACGCGGAGGAGGTGGGTGCCCCCACAGGCTCGCCCGCCGCTCGGGCCTGAGGCACAGCCGAGCCATAACATTGTGCTGTTTTCCCCAGGAGGGACAGGAGAACGTGGAGATCCTCCCTTCAGGAGAGCGGCAAGCGGCTAACCAGAAGCGGATCACCACCCCCTACATGACCAAGTACGAGCGGGCCAGAGTCCTGGGCACACGTGCCCTCCAGATAGCGTGAGTATTCCTTGCTGTATCCCAAATAACCCCACAGCAGGCATATTTGGACCTCACGTAGTCCTTTACCTGACAGCTGAGCTTGTGTATCATCATCACAATCAGCACTGAAAAGCAGCACCATAAGCCCTTACATCTCTAACAAATGTCACAGGCAAAAAAAATAGGGAATGTGACACGCTGATCCTGCTTTCTGCCTTTGCTAAGGCAGCCAGCAGGGGCTGGAAAGCTCAGGACCAGTTGGCGAAAGCTAAAGTTTTAGGGAGAGATGCTCTACAACATCTTCGTTTATTACCACATGGTTGTAAGAATTAGGAATGGTATAGCCATCCTGAAATCTCTGAGTGCCCTTGTAACAAACTATAAGTTTGTTAAGTGTTTGGAATAGCGTGGCATCATTTATGATAGATAATGTTACTTGAGTCCTATTTTGAGTGCAATTAAGGCTGACTGCACTGAGTCTCTTCCATTTACGTGTCCAGATCAGTTTTAATAATACATGTCGAAAAGTTTTGTGCTTTTTGAAAAACTGTCTTAAAATTTGTCTGAAAGGGCATCTCTGAATTTCATTTTAGCTACATTCACCTTCAAAAATAGCGCTTCTCCACATCTCCTCACCATTTACAAGCTTCTAAATGAACTTTCCTTAATCGTTACTTTGCTGAGCTGTTCTTTGCCCGGTTATCACTCCAGGAGGCTATTTTGTGTGCATTCTTTCAACTGGTCAAAGACCAGAAAAATGGGTGAGATGGGATGGGTATGTGCCAGACCTGCAATCCAAAGCACTCTGGCGCCTGGTTCTCCTTCAGCTGCATACTTCTGCTCTCGGAGCTGACTCTAGGCCAGCAGCAGCCCCCCAGTGGCCTTACCCACACATAACATGAACTCCTGTTGCTGTTGCCACCAGACAGAGAAACAATCATCAGCAGTGCTTGCTCTAGTTTTACAACCCTCTGCAAAATGCATTTTTTTTCCCCTAGAGATAGACTGCATCGTAAATGCAGCCTCTCATTTTCTCCTAAAGGAAGTCTGGAAAATGGGAGCAAGTGAGAACATGGGGGATGCCAGTGTTTCCACCCTCTTTGTTAGATCAATTTGAAATCAGTTTTGATATTCTGTTTCTCTGTTGTGGTTCAACCTGGCAGGCAGCTAAGCACCACACAGCCATTTGCTCACTTCCCTTCTCCCCCGACCAGTGGGATGGGGGAGAGATTTAGGAGGGGGAGAAAAAAAGTAAAATATCTAATGGGTTGAGATAAAGACAGTTTAATAGGACAGAAAAAGAAGAGAAATAATGATGATGATGATGATAATAACAGAATACATAAAGCAAGTGATGCATCCCGTCCCTGAGCAGCGTTCCCCCTGCCTCCTGGCCACCCACCACCTGTTAATTCAGCACGATGCCATGCATTATTGAATGTCCCTTTGGCCAGGCTGGGTCAGCTGTCCTGCTTCTGTCCCCTCCCAGCTCCGTGTGCACCCCCAGCCTGCTCACTGGCAGGGCCAGAAGAACATTCAAGCAAAAACTCGGTCCACAGTCCCCTGGGGAGAAATTTTTCCCAAAGTGTATGAGAGTGCAACACGCAGGCACGTGCGTAGCTGTCCCTTCTTCATGTTCTCTCAAACGGCTGTTGATGTTTTGTTCCAGGATGTGTGCCCCTGTGATGGTGGAATTGGAAGGAGAGACAGATCCCTTGCTGATTGCCATGAAAGAGCTCAAGTAAGTCCCGGCCTTTGGCAGTGAGCGTATTGATTTCCATAAAGCAAGCACTCCCCTCCTCATCCCAGAATTTAGCAGTTTATTCCATGCAGCTCATTCCAGGACATTTTGTTCCCTTTTCTGCTCCTTGGGACTTCTCCACAGCTGCTCTTCCATCAGGGGAGCTCTTGCATAGTGCTGATGATTAGCAGTGCTCTGATCTCTTTTACCTAGGAGTCCAAGTGTCTCTTATTTCTGTGATGAGAACACAAGGTCCTCATCTTTGTGGAATCAGTTTAATTCCCTGAAAGGGATTGATGCGAAGTAGCCTTCTGAACAGACCTGTGTTCAAAGGGAGTGCTGGCAAAAATTAAAATAAGGGTCAGGTTGGTAAAGTGAAAGCCCTGGTAAGAGAGTCTGTTTTTCCTGCATCCTTCTAAAATTGGCTTATTGTGCTTGCAGGAGGCACAACCCTTGCTTACAGAGAGATTAAATAAATCCTTTCTGACTAGCAAAATCAGCTTCTGGATGGCTGCTGACAGGCCCACCTTTCCACAGCAGAGTGTTCTGGCCCACAGCTTGCTGACGTGGTCAGCGAGCTAATATGTCATGGGCAGGCTTCTTGCAAGCAGAGCAGCCAGACCCCCTTACTAATGAAGTCCCTATGCTTGAGTTGAGTTGTCCCTCTGCTCCCCAAATTTCTCGGTGCATTGCAGTTGCTCTTGCAGACTTCATATCTCTATTACAGCAGCTCCTTTTATCATTGCTAAAACCTCCGTGGGTCATGCTCCTATCAGATCTCCAAGATCCTAAATTGCTTCTGGTCGCTGTCTGAGTGTGAGCTCTAGAAAGCAGCCGGAGTGTGACACACAGTGGCATCCTGTGCTGTGCCAAAATTAAATTGTGATTCTTGGCACGAGGGAGCTTCTCTGGCACCAGAAAAACAGAAGCCCTGAATGTGGTCATTAAAGACGTTGTATTACTTTTCACGTCTGATATGGTCGTAAACCTGATGCCCTGGTTAGATTCCAGACTGTCTAATTACATTCTGCAGATTTAAATCTGCTTCCACTAAGTTAAATTCTGCTCAGCACTTTCTCGCTTTCTAATTGGAGCTGCTGCTAGCAGACGCTGTGTTCTATCCCAGCTTTACTGGGTTTTGGTGGCTGAACGGTCTGTAATATTTCACATATCCTTCTTTAAAATGTACCTGATACCCCCAGACATGCAAAACACTCCATAGATGTCAGGTTTAAATGAAGGTTCTCAGAATTCTGACACTTCTGTAGTGTCTTGTAAGGGGAAAAAAATCTTCACTGGGTTTTCCTTCTGGAGGTCTTAGTTTAGAGACTGACTTTGCTCAGTGCTTTGCACCTACAAAAGAAAATGTTGTTGGTACTTCCCTCTACTGCGTAATGCCAAATCTCTGGTGCCATACAGATCTCCCACTTAAACCTGAAGCTAGCAAGGCAGCATTCCTCAATTCCCATTGCCTGCTGAAATGCTATAGTGAAGGCCGTGGCATTTCTTTTCACCTCTCTGTCCTTCCTCCAGAGCTCGCAAGATCCCCATAATCATACGTCGTTACCTACCTGATGGGAGCTATGAAGACTGGGGCGTGGATGAGTTAATTATCACAGACTGATCAGCCGTCGCTTTTGATTCTTGCCTTCTCCAACAGATGTTTCTATTTTTGTTTATATTTGTGTAAATAAATTATAAGCCTTCCCATTTTAAGCTGAAAGTATTTTTTTTTCCTCTCCCCCACCTGTTTTTCCCATCTCTGCCCTACATGCCCAGGATTTCTTTTGAACCCTTCCTTATTTCTGTACATCAGCTTGGTTATTCTTTAATTCTGTGTCAGCCTGTGTGGGCTTTACTGAGATTAGGGAGCAAAGTGCCAAGTTTTTCTTTTATTTCCACCTTTTAGCTAGGCTAAAGACCGCAGTAGCTGCCTCCACCTGCCACCTCCTCTCCAGTTCTAGGACCAACAGCCAGCTGAACTACTGTTGGACAGAAATGAGCTTGCAGGTACTTTGGCTTCAGAAAGACTCCAGCCCTCCAC